ACAGAATCTTCTGAGTAGGTTAAACAATTAGCATTGCTTTAGAAAGGTTGTCCATATACCCAGTGGTTTATTATTGCAGACACCTAGCACACCTCCACTCCTCTTCTCTCTTTATATGGGAAAATGATGTCCAAATTAACAAAACCCCATCAAGTCCACTCATATAATATTGCAGTTACTCTAAGCTTTGAGTTACATAATGGTTTGTCACTGCAACATTGTCCATGGCACTGATTTAAAAATACAGAAATAGAGAAGAGCCCCGATACCTTTGTATGGTAAAAAAGCAACCGCTAAAGAATTGCACAGACTTTGCAAACCCAACCAGGAAGTATGAATAGTTGACCAAATGTGGGACCAACGGCCTTGTTTAGTGTCCATGTGTCTGACATTCAAAATCAGAACTGGAAGTTGGGCAATCCGAGAAAGATTTGTTTTGGGAGAATGTCCCTGCCAAATATGTACTAATTATATCTCACCCATTTTTCATTGTTGATTACATGTATTTTTTATTGGCTGGGTTAATTCTAAATTTCATTGCACAGTGAAATTATAATTTTTCTTTAAATTCTTATCAGCAAATGGGACACTGCTTGGAAACAAACCTCCCATTAAAATAGGAAGTAAGGTATTTTCCAAGGGGGCTGTTCTGGTATCACACAAGAGCACTTTTCAGAATGAATCATTTCTGGATGATGAACCAGACATGGATGATGAACTAGACATGGAAAGGTATAAAGAGAGGGTCCCCTGGCTGCCACATGGCATCCAAGGGAGAGGACTCCCTCATTCCTTTCTGGTATGTTGGGTGGTTGAAATACTGTACTGATGTTTCTGCACATCTGGTGATAATGGTCAGATTAGACTGGAGACAAGTTGGATCAGATAAAACAACTCTGGGCCAGTATCTTTACTCAACCCCTACCTTCGGAAGCCATTCAAAAGAGCTCATTTGGATTCTGTTCTACTTAAGTTATACATTTTCAAGTACAACAAATGATCATTGTGCTCCGTTTCTCATACAGGCTGGAAAATTAAATCCATGCCATTGCTGAGCTCTGTATATGGATGGGGTAGATTAGAACTAGAGGGGAAACAATGAGAGAGTGACAGAAGCCACCACTTTCTTAGGTCCTTATTAGAGCATAGCTGTCCTAGGGCCTTACTGTTCCTGCCCTGTATAATATTTTTCTGGCTCAACAGTTGAGCTCATAGTTTCATAGGTGGTAGGGTCGGAAGGGACCTGAGCAGATCATCAAGCCCGAACCCCTGCCCTGGCAGGAAAGAGTACTGGGGTCAAATGACCCAGGCCAGATGTTTATCCAGCCTTCTTTTAAAGACCCCCCAGGGTAGGAGCCAGCACCACTTCTCTTGGAAGTTGGTTCCAGATCCTAACTGCCCCGACTGTGAAGTAGTGCCCCCTGGTATTTAACCTGAATCTACCCTCTCCCCGCTTGTGACCGTTATTTCTTGTCACTCCTGGTAGTGCTCGGGGGAACAGGGACTCCCCCAATGCCTGCTGGTCCCCCCGACCAGTTTGTAAACAGCCACTAGATCCCCCCTCAGCCGTCTCTTTACGGAGGCTGCACAAGGTTAGGTCCCTTAG